TGGTATCGCGCTTCGCTCTCAATGCTGCGTGATCCGACAGTGCAGCGCATGCGATTCTTCCAAAAAATGGCCATGGCTATTATAATTGGCGCTTGTTTTGCTGGCACTACATCGCTCTCGCAACTGGGTGTGCAAGCGGTACAGGGTGCACTATTTGTAATGATTTCCGAGAACACCTATCACCCCATGTATTCGGTATTGAATGTATTCCCGCAAGGGTTCCCGCTATTCTTGCGCGAAACGCGCTCTGGCATGTATTCGACGGCACAGTATTATGTGGCCAATATACTGGCGATGGTAAGTAATGATCTAATAGCTGTCCAGTTATGCGGTAACATACATATAAAACAAAAAAAAAACATATTCCGACGAATTGATAACCTCCTCCTTTTTTGAAGTCGGTTAAAAATCAATTCCATATTCCTGTTTAAAAAATCAAATTCAACTTTAATAAATGAAATATGTATTACAGTATGTGTGTCAAACGAAATAGCCTTAAAAAGTTGTAGTTTGGTAATGTTTTGAAATCAGTTGCCACCAGTTTGAAAAGTCAAATTTAAATTATTTATTCGCAAGCTATATGAAAAACTAAATTATGGCTGTCAAATGAAAGACTATTAAGAAACTTTTAGTTTTAACATTTGGAGTATTATTGGGGTTTTTTACAAGGGTTACCACCTGTTTAAATTCAATTACTCAAATTCAATTCAAAACTCAAATTTTACTTGAATTAATGGAATAAGGTAATTGAAATTTTTTTCAAAATATGGGACTCAGACGAAATACGTAATTTGAAAATATTTTGAGTATGGTTGCCACCTGTTTGAACAATAGGCTTTAATTAAATTATACACAATTCAAAGTGTCAAATTCAGGAGGCGTTTGAATATGGTTACTGCCTGTTTTAAAACTAAATTCAAATCAAATTATTTAATAAATTAAATTAATCGAAGTGTGTTTTAAAAGGCTTCATTTATACACTACATGTAGGTGGGTTGCCACCTGTTTACAAACTCAAATTCAGAGTTTTATTTTGAAAGTATTTTAAACGGGGTTAAGAAAATTTTAAAATTTTCTTTCACGTAATGTAGCACGCTGAGATTTCCTAAACCGGGTGCAGGAAATCTGGTAAAATATAGTTTCGAAGGTATTTATAAAGTGGGCAAAGTATCGACTTTCTCCTGCAAATTTAATTCATAATCTTGTAACTCGAGTCTACATATCGCGCACTTTCCTCAAAGATGTATTGACTCAATATTTGTCGCTTTTGATAATAAGCGCAAAAAAAATTCAAAGACCGCATATTTATGTTCTATAAAAAGCTGAACTCAAATTTGTTTGTATAGATATAATGTGAAAAAAAAACTTGCCTAAGTACTCTACAAAGTCAGAGGGAGTAAAAAAAACTGCTTTGAGAGCGCTGCGAAGCACGCAGGGTATTTGCTAGTTGAAGATATTTATAACTCAACGATTACGCAAGAACCTTTCGTCTGATACCCATTCAGAAATATTTAGCTTATCATTGAATTGAGTTAAATTTTTCAAAAAGGTGGCAACCCGCCCCATAACTATTTTCGACAGTAAACTATTCTTAAACCTGTTTTGTTTGACACCTATATTGTAATATTTTATTTATTTAATAAATTTAATAGAATACAATTTTTCAATTAATTGGCAACCCTCCTCAGAAATTTTTTAGCCAATAAACTTTCTTGACTCTCTTTAATTTGAAAGCAAATTGTAACATGTAATTTAACTTATCAATTAAATTATATTTAATTTTTGAAAACGATGGCAACACTCCTAAAAAATATTTTCTTAAAATTTTCAAATTTATTTTTTTTTTCATCTGGGTATTATCAAAAATATTCTAATCGGTCAAACTGTTTTAGAGTTCCATTTTTATTAGCATATAAAATATAAAAATTGCAGACACATTACAAACATTCCTTTAGTTAATCAATAATAAATTTTTCAGTTGCCTGGCATGATCATTGAACCATTACTTTTCGTTATAATCTGTTATTGGATAACTGGCTTGCGGCCGACATTTTTTGCATTCAGCATAACGGCTATCTCTATCGTTTTGGTTATGAATGTGGCTACTGCCTGCGGTTGCTTCTTTTCCACAGCATTCAATTCTGTGCCATTGGCTATGGCATATTTGGTACCTGTTGATTACATTTTCATGATTACATCTGGAATTTTCATTAAAATTAGGTGAGTTACTCGTTGTTAGCTTACATACATACACATCTACATTATAAGCTTATAAGAGATAATTACCGCTGATGAACGTAACTGTATACTACATATATATGCATGTATGTGGATTCGTCTAATTTACTTACAGCACTTTGCCTATGGCCTTTTACTGGACACAATTCCTGTCGTGGATGTTATATGCGAATGAAGCAATGACGATTGCCCAGTGGTCTGGTGTTCAAAATATAAGTGAGTATTTTTTTTTTACTAAGCGCGCAAATAGAATACTTACGAAATTATATATTTTCTAACTTTAAGTTATACTTAAGATATGATTGACAATTTTTGAAGACTTCGTATGAAATTTTGTTGATATTTTTCATCAACTGAACTGAAAATGTAGTGAAACCAAAGGAGAAAAGATTCCGCGAGCCATTTGGCGCCAACTGATTCAAATGGCTTCCCGGAAGTTACCGAGAGCACCTTCGTCGCCCTTTCCACACCAATTGACTAATTGGAGCACGTCTATTCCGCTTGGCGAGTTCCATAGTAAGCATACGACAACTGGTCAACCTACAAAAGCTGAAAAAGTGGCAAGGCTAACTAAAGACCTGCAACTTCACCAGTGGTATGAGTAAGCTTTGGTCAACTCAAATGATCCTGTGTAACCCGACGAAGTGCGATGATAGAGTTGAGATTGCATTCGGCAATTGCAGCTTGTAGAGTCCAAAGCGATACGCTACTTCAGCGGATAATTTAAGTTGCATCCTTCGGTAAACAAGGCCAAGTTTCTATTAACCAACAAAATTCTTGCTTTCGCCAGTGTCTAGGTTCGCGTGGCCGCCGTGAAGGTGAAGTCTTCAAAACCGTTAATCTTGACGAGTTATCAGGTGGCGCGTGCAGTACCCTAAAGGGTCTTCGCTATTGGGTAAAGAAATGTTTGCTGTGGATAGGAATACCCTTTGTTGACGGCTTTTCCGGCTTAAATAGTGGCACCACATGACAAATGAGAAACAACGAGAATGGTAATGATAGGTTTTGATCTTGGTGATGTAGTTGGCCCCCGCCGCGAGTTCGTGTGTTATTCCTGATTTGTGAAAATCGTGGAGGTGATCCGACGATTTAAGCCAGGGAAATCCGTCAACAAAGAATATTCCTCTCAACAACAAACACTTCTTTCCCCAATAGCGAACACCCTTTAGATATTTATACTTCTGTACTGCACGCGTCACATGATAATTTGCGACCTTAACCGTAAATGCCTCCGCCAGAGAACCGTCCCAGTAGCGTTGGACACCGTTTGTCAATCCACGCCACTACCACAGAAGATATTGCGGTAACTTTTCACTCACAGGAACTCAAATGGTGGACGGCGAATTAGCGGAAAAATTAAGAAGATGGCTCAACGGGGTGATCAGTGTGATATAGCTATAACATAATCCTTTCCTGTACGAAGTCATGAGAAACCATTTCTGTCATTTGGAAAACATAATTCGAAAATTTTATTTTTGTTACAGTTTACAGCCTGCTCTCTTCTGACGCCCACATAACCGAAATTTCGCCACCAGGCACTAGTAGGACAAAGTCGACCAACCTACAGAGATGTCTCAAGACATCACTCTGGACAGATACGTGATGCTCTCTGATTCACTAGTACTTAATTTGCATAGCGAGGCGCGGATGACCCTTAAAAGAGAGCAAAATATTGTGTCTTGTATGTATTTCCTGGTCGGGTGCGACCGTTGGCAAACTTCTTGGAAACAGAATCTCCTCCTAGGTACGTCAGAAGGTATCCCTATAAAATCACGGACGAGCTCCAGGACTACACAAAACAACCACTGAATCTGACGTTGCACACAGGAGGCTGTAAACGACTCTCACCGAGATACTAAGTTTTAGTCTCCTCGGTATGTGAATGCCTTTCTCGGAATTCAATCAACCAAACATTGCAAAGAAATAGCATCACCTGTCACAATAACCATCTGGATATTACAGATAGTAGAAGTCCTATTTATCCAGACTCGATCCCGGCATTCTCAATGTGTATGTAAATATTGCCCGAATACGACTAGCCAGCCCATCATATATACTCTGAAGTGCACTTAACAAACATGAAGCCGAACCCTCAATCGACTACCGCGGTGCTGATGTGCCTCCACCATACTTTGCTGAAATTTTAATATCAATTTCACTACTGAAAAACAACAAAGCTTCTGCAGCTGACGGCTTGGCATATTAGCTATTGAAGTGCCGCTGCGGAGAGTTGACGATTTATATTCAGAGAATGGTCGGGGATCCTGGATTAAAAATAACACTCAAAACTACCGAAGTTGACCATAGTTGCGAGTTCGAGTCACAGTGAACTCGATGAAAAAGTCTGAGGAGGAGATATGGTGATCTCCAAAATATCAGCTATGACTTCTACCATGTATAAATTGTTTGTTGCTTTTCCACAACATTTTTCATTTAATTTCAAATGGTCTCAAGCTCAATAAAATTATTGAAAAAAGCTCTACCTAAAAGGGACACCTGTAAAATGATAATCCCCATGTCCATCGAAGGATTTCAAGTTTGTTACACTTATGGATCCAAACTTGAGGTTGGGAACACTGGGCCGGCGTATATGGACCTAGATTTAAAAAAGTTGTTCCGATGGACATATACCCATCCATATTGCAGGCGGAAATATTCGCGAATGTTTTTGTAGACGGACTAATGGGGCAACAATAAACATCAAAGCTGGTAGATAGTTATAAAATGGTACTAGAAAAACTAGAAACCAGCAGCACAGTTACCTTGTGGTGGGTTCCGGGCCATGATGTCTTCGATAGCAACGGAAGGGCTGGAAATCTAGCGATATTTGGCGCTCAAGAGTGCCTGATCGGCTCTCAGCCTTTCTGTGGTCCATACGGAGAATAAGCGGCAAAACTCCCACTAAGATGGGACGACTCTCAAACTGCAACCCCAAGGCAGTCCAAAAGATTACCAATTCCGTGGAATATCTGAGTGATTGCTAAAGCTTAGAAGAGAGGATTTAAAAACTTTCACCGGAGACCTGACAGGACGCTCAGGTACCGCCTGCAAAAAATTGGACTCTCTGAGCAAACGAAATGCAGGTATTGTGGAAATGGTTTCCACTTCCTGCTCACAAAACCTGCAGTTCGTCTGCTCAGAGAGTCCCACTTTTTGCAGACGGTACCTCAGCGTCCTGTCAGGCGTGTTAATCTAAACGCGTAAATGCCTACCGCGTTAGTAAAGCTCGTAAATAAACCGGTTTACCATACAAAATTAGGTAAATTTACGAGGTTAACGTGGTTACGAGGCATTTACGCGTTTTGATGAAATGCCCATCTCATTTGATTGCAGCACTGTATGCCCAAATAATAATACTAATTTTAATGGTCCCGGATTCAAATAGACTGCCCAACCCACAAAACAATAGACCCTAACATACCTGGTGTGAAAAGCTAAATAAAACCCTCCCTAGACGCATACAAAACACCTGCATAGCAGTCGAAGCTGAGAAGACGCCAATTACCTCTACCATGCGAGCAGATCATACAAGAAAATTAACTCATTTGCCTAAAACCCGGCTACTTACTACTGGATATCTATGTCTGCAGAATAACGATTTTAGAGGGCACTAGAAGACACTCCTTTCACTACTATTTCTTTTGCACTCTGGGGACCCAAACATTGCAGGCATTCATGATTCCCGCAGTTTACTAACTTAGCCAACTGGTCCTATTTCTAGATGACCCGGGGACCTAGTTGTGCCTCCCTCCTACGTATATAGATGCAGGCAGCAACTTCAACAACTAATTGATAACTTACAAAAAGTTTCATCCATCATCGTCGCTTTTTTTCCTTTGTGGCAATTTTACCATTATTATTTCTACGTTTTATAGTAAAAATTTAAAGACATCATTCAATTTTACCTCAACCCAGTGTCCGTTTAAAATCTTTATGCATAATTTTCTTAAGTCACTGTAAAAATGTTTTGGGATGAGACTTTTCTTGAAGCGCGTAGCTTTAATGAAATTAGCTTCCGTTCCTTTTTTTTGCTGTAGTCAATTGAAATAAGATTACTGCCACGCATTTAAGGTTTCCATTTTATTTCCTATTCGCTTTTAACCGAAATAAACGCAATTCATCTTTTTCCTACCTTCAAATGCCACCCTTCGAAACTTGCAAATATAAATTTTTTTTTTCTTCGTAAACTCACTCGCCCCGTATTTTTTCTGTGCAAGCATTTAAATTTACTTTACGATTTACTTACCTTATTGGCTGTAATTTATGTACATATATTAAAATTTACAATTTACACTACGTCAATAACTCAGCGCTTGCCGCTGGCTTGGCCTACTGAACTACTTTCTTAGTGACCACAGGTTGAGGTTGAGGTATTTTTTTTTCTTACCAATTTAAATTTAGCTTAAGCTGCTTCCTTTTATTTGCATATTTGCCACCTTTTCTTGCGTTTTTCAGCACAATTTCCCGTTTATACCGTACACTTGCTTCATCTAGGAAAAATTTATAATTGTAATTAATTTTCTGTTGAAATTCATTTCATTATTTGCTGCTGTTTTCTTTTCTTTTTTTTGTATTCCTTTTCATTGTAGCCTGCTTCGAGGAGAGTGAGGACTTGCCCTGTTTTCACACTGGACAGGATGTGCTGGACAAATACAGTTTTAATGAATCGAATCTGTACAGAAATTTGCTTGCGATTTTGGCTATTTACTTTTCCTTTCACATCCTGGGCTATTACTGTTTGTGGCGGCGCGCTAAAAAGATTTAATATAGCGCCTGGATGTTGATGTAGGTTCATCGGATAAACAATTATATGAAAAAGTACTCGCTTGTGAATTTAACCTTTATCTTATTAGTAATTCTGTAATATTTTTTACATTCGCACACTTTTTTTTTTGAGAACTGCCACTTATTTAAATGAGATTTATTAGCATTCAAGCTGTACTTTATTTTATAGCTACAGCTCTTCTTACAATTATATTTAGATATACGTATTTGTATTTAAATAATACGCGCCAGATAATACGTATTGGCAAAACACTGGCTAAAAATATAATTTTCTGTACTTAATAAGGTGTCAAGTTGTTTTTATTATAAGGGATGAGTTCCGGGATTTGCTGGGAAATGAAACATAAAAATTCGCTGATTTTAATGTAAGAGGATATTCTAGACTGTAGAGCCTTCATTGGTTCAACAAATTTCTTCTATAGGTAACAAATGGCTCTGATCCTTCGCAATTAGAATAGGGATCAAAAATATATCTAAAAAATATCACATCATCACTCTGTTACCAATTCTTGCTCAGGTCCTTAAATGGTATTTTCAGGGGCAGTAGCCTAGGGTTCTAGCTTTGAGTTAAGCCTAAGTGGAAGGTTCTACCACATTTTTACTCTTTGCTGGAGCTTGTCAAATATTGAAAAAACCCCGATTTTTTGACACTTTGACACGATTTTCTCGAAATCAGTACGTGATGGAATCTTTATAATTACGGATTCGTAATCAGCTCAAAAAAGTCTATCAAAAACCGATTTAACATTTGCCGCACCAAAATCAGTGTTGCCCTGTGTTATAGAGCTGAACGGCCGCATTTTCAGGTCAAATTCCGTTTCCATTTTCCTCATTGAGCTGAGTGAACGAATCAGCTAAATATGGGTTCCACAAGTTAGCTCGAAAAAAAATTCACTTCTACGTATATCGAATGTTTATAACAGGAACCTGTAAATACTTACATATTTGTGGTGTTTTCCCATTTCAAATTGAACTACCATTTTCATACACTTTAGTTTTTTTTTTATTCGCTTGCAAACATGTTTTCTTTTTTTAATACTCGTATAATAACACATTTATTCTTAAAATTTAAAATGATTTTTCATTAAAAATATTTTTAAATATTTCATAACACTTTATAAATACACATAAATATATACTTTCAATTTTAATACAATTTACATTGGTTACATACATACATACATAATATTAGCTTACTTTTTTTTTGGAATCGTATTTTCATTGTACATATTTTACATTTCAGTTTGTGTGATAAAGATGATTTATACCTTTCTATACAATGCAGTATTTAAGCACACTGGCAGCCGAAATGTGCACACATTTTTTCGTTTGAAAAAGCTCTACAAATATTTTTCGAACAAAGAGCAATATGAGTGCATAGTTTTATAACTAATTTAATTAATAACTGAAATAATAATGAGTTCAGCATAATTGCTTTGAAAGTACTTGGCAACTTATTCTACTAACCGAAAATATCTATTAGAATGATATGTATGCCAGGAATTTGTGTTTGTTTTGAAAATATTAAAATATCTAATTTAATTAGAATTATTAAAAAATATATGGTAAATATGTAATCTATATGTGTACAACTCAAAATGCCAAATTTGTGTATATACATTAGACCGTACCACCTCACAAGCAAACAAAAAATGTTCGCCGCATAGCCTTGAGTCCAAAGTGTTTGCAAAACAATTTCGAAACAAATTTTTTTTTTAGCCGAACCTAGGAATCACTTTTTTATATTTTTCAGTGACCCCTCAATTCGACTATAAAAAAATTTTCTTTTAAATTGTTCTACTAGAATAATCAAAACACTTACCTAGCAAAAATGTGGTGATTTTCGTTGAGCTTCAATTTACGGGCATTAGGGTGCTTCGTTAGGAGGATAAGAACTTGGATCTGATGGATAAGTACTAGCATGGTGTTCTTGAGGTCAATAGACTTTGGAACAAAAAAAGTGTTTTCTCAAGAACATCGATATATCATATTTTAGATCCGATTGTAAATAACGAAGATATGACAAAAACTATAAAAGGTGATCCCTACGTTCGCAAAAAAGGTGTTTTTATTTTTTTCGAAATTGCCTTTCAAAAATCATTCAGGACTAGTGGTGTATGACGAACTTTTTTTCTGGTACGGCGTAATGTAGTATACATGCCAAAATATACATACAGTCAGCGTCAAAATTATGCATATCCTGACGTTTTGACGACTTTATTCCTTTATATTTCCCATACAAAATTTTTATTTATTTATTTATGTTATGTTAATAAAGTTCGTTTAACAGCAAAGACCACAAGCACTAATTTTTTTTTAATTTCATACAGTACTCGGGAAAATGCAAGAATTTTCATCGAATTCTAAAATTTTTCAATTCGTTTTCTTAGAAAAATTTTGAGTATTAAGTTTTGTAGCCCATCGAACTTCAGTCTAATACAGTGCAAGTATGAAGTCGCTAAAAATTACCGCTGATTTTTGTGAACTTTTTCATTGAGGGTGCTGCGTACCCTGATTAATACAAAAAAAAAAAAAAAAAAAAAAAAAAAAAAAAAAAAAAAAANCGTAAAATGGAAGAAAGCGACATAAAACTTGCACTTTATTATTTGAAATTTAATGGGCTAAAATACAGCGTACTAGAAAATTTTATAAGAAATCGAATTAAAAAATTTAAAATTACGATGAAAACTCTTTGGTATTTCTAATATTTTCCCGAGTTCTGTATGAAATTAAAAAAAAAATTGATTTTTGTTGTTTTTGCTGTTCAATAAACTATATTTTAATAAAAAGAACAACAAATTTTTATGGAAAATACAAATAAAAACAATCGCCAAAACGTTTGGGTATGCATATTTTTGATGCTGACTATATACATGTATGTATGTAGGTGTGCATATGTAGAATATTCACCACAATAACCGCTACTTCAATTAGTTTACATATAAAACACTAATTAAATTCCATTAACAGCTGGTCACAACTCATGGCCACTTAAAAGGCAAAACACAAAACTCATCACTCATTCGCAGCATACGCATACGCAGCAGGATGCACATAAACTTTTTTGCCAGTTTGTTTTTTTTTGCGAAATCAAAAAGTTATCTTTCAGAAATGAGCCACTTCTAGCCTAGTCTAAAATTTTTTTCACAAAATAATAATTATTAATTATAAGCGCAAACAACTCAGCAGTTAGAAAAACATTACAATTGATTTAATGCGACTTTACAAATAATTTAAAAAAGAAGCCATTTTAATTGTAAATTATTTTTGGACTACATATTCTATACAAACATATTTATGTATGTACTACATACAACTAGAATTACAATCACAGTAAGATATTTTATATTTTAGGTATTATTTATAATTTCAAATTTGTTTTCTCGTACTCTTAGTTGCTTCAATTTTGTACATTTATGCTTTGGTTGTGTTACTTTTATTTGTATTTTTATTTGTAATTACTTGTAATTATTTTACATAAAAAAAGATTAGCATAGTTAGCTTTGGTAATTACATACATATTTGGTTGTTTATTTTGTGAAAACTTTACTTTACATGAGTTTTAATCAATATTGCATTTCGTTGGTTTACCATAAAAGCAAATAATATCTTTTGAACCCAAAAATTATTTAACTGTTGTTTACACTGTGCACTACAGATTTACGACAGCATTTTGAGCGGAAAATGTAGCAGAGAGAAGAGCAGCGAACCTGATGGTTTGGGTGTAACCCGCCTGTCAGAAATTAAGCAAACCAGCTATTTTTTATCTTTTATTTTTGCTCAAACTGTAAAGTTGAATCGAGACAAAGCCTGTCATCGACCCCTCAGACCTTAGTTGTGTTACTACTTGCGCAAAAAGTATGCCGCTACATCTAAATTACTCACAGGGAATCTTTCAATATGAAGTGATATTACAGACAAGTTCAAGATCTTATGCACGATTTTTTTTTTACTCACTGACTTATGCCCGATATATTTGTTTAATAAATATCAAATACTCATTTCAAAATTTTTTTATTTGGTTTTAAATTTTGTTAAAACTTTGTAGAATTTTTATATTTTTCCACAAAGTATGAATTTCGGATTTACAAATAACAAAAAAAAATCCTTCAAAGTTGAATCTAAAATTTTAACTTTTTAATAAGATTTTTCAGATTTTTTTTGAGTACGCAGTTTTATAGTCCATTAAATTGTAGCATAGTAAATTACATTTTTTTTTTAACGCATTTTCTTCCATACAAATTTTTTTTTATGAAAAAAGGTGTAATTCACATAGAAAAAATAGTTGCCAAAAATCAATGCGATTTTTTTACAAACTGAAACTTGTAAAATAATTTAATGGGCTATAAAACTGCATACCACAAACAATTCTGAAATATCTGATTTAAAGTTGAAAATTTAAATGAAAGCGGATTATTTTAATTTTTTTATATTTTATAATTATATGCAGATTAAAGTGTATACATATATTTGTGTGAATGTATACATATATACGCATGTATCTTAAAACGCGCATGATGTGAACTTCTCAAGCAATTTTTTTTAGCCGAAATGAACGGTAAATGTTTCTTTTACAGCCGCAAATTGACAGAGTTGCATTTAAATTTTTTTATTTCCAATTCACTGTAAACAGCATAGAGTTTTATATAATTTTAAAATCAATTTATTATAATTTAATAAATATCTTTTGTATATTTATCTTTGTGTTACATTCAAATATATATACATACATAAATAATGCCTACAAATTTTATAAGTTCTGCATTTAAATTCTTATAAATTCTTTGAACCCAATGTTTTTTAATCATTCTACTAGCAACATTATTAAATAACATATATATTAATGTACATACTCATATTTTTAAATAAATATACTCTACAAACATATGTACATACGTATTTACAAATGTTTTATTTTTCGTATATCCTTTCAACATTATATAGATTTAGCCATTCGATGGCAGATTTAAAATTTAACTGTGTTTGTCATTCAAAATCGTACACTAAATTGTTCTCCATATTTTGAAAATATATTTTGTTTCATTTAAATTTTATTAATTTGTAATAAAAATATCCTTTACACTACAACAAAATCTCTAAAACTGACAGTTTCTATTTTTGTAACAATTAAAAAAATGTTAAATTTTCATAAAAATTTCACAATTTTAATCAGAATTTTTTCGGGCATGCAGTTTTATAGTCCATTCAATTTTAGTGTAATAAAGTGCAAGTTTAAAGCCGCTAAAAATACCATTGAATTTGAGAATT